ATTTTCAAATTCAACTTTTCAAACTTATATGCCATTTTTAGTTCATTTTTGACCAATCATGTAACTTCATGCTATGAGCTTTTCCAACAATTTGTGACCTTCTTTCTAGACTTAAAATCACCTTTTGAACAACTTTCATGCTTTGAGTTTTACCATTTGAGGCTTAGAAGTAGGAGTTTTAGGCATTGGTTAAAATGACCTATAACTGACAAATGACCAAAATACCCCTGTCTTGTTCAAACCATAAGTTGAGTTCCACAAATCCTATCAAGGACTTCTACCACTCAAATTAAAGCTAAGAAGATGCCCTCCAACATTCATGTTGACCAAGAAACCATAGGAACCATCCTGCTAGGGCAAAAGTTGTCTGCAAGTTGGGTGACTTTCAAGGACCCAGATTCACACACCTCAGCTGACCTGTAATTTGTCAAAACCATAACTTGAGCTCTGTAACTCCTATCAAGGACTTCCACCACTCAAATTAAAGCTAAGAACAAGCTCTACAACATTCATGTTGTGGGGAAGATGAGATATCAATCACATCTAGAGCTAAAACTTCCTGGAAGATAGGGGTCAAATTAGGGTTTTTCCACTGACAACCCTCAGAAACCCTAACTCAAAACTTCTCAAACTCTTCAATCATGATGAGTTGGTCTAGGAATCATCCTTATAACATCTCTATACATCATTCCATGATCTCATGGCCCTTGGATTAGGTCTCAACCTTCTCCAAATCTTCAGCTGATCTAGGGTTGACTCAGTCAAAACCCTAATTCTATCATTCATGGTTGAATCTTCTGAACTCTTGCACAATGACTTCTCTGGGCTTCATGATGGCTATCAAGACATCTCATAAGCTTTCTCAAAACATCAAGTTCATTCTTAAAGTCTCAGAATCATCTGAGGAGCACCCACAACTCTCAAGCTATGAAGCACACAACCCTAGTTTCAACCCACTTCTCTTGAGGACCCCTTGAACTTTCTGATGAAGATATCCATTTTCAAACACTCAATGAATAAATAAAGGTTGGTCAAATTTTGGGGTGCAACAAATAGCTATGTGTCTCACATTAGAATCTTACTCAGCTTCCTGAATGTTATTCCCGACTGTTCTAATATGAATAAAGGTTTTGGTTGCACAAATTATCCCCCTATTGTGCTGTTCTGATTAAAAGTTTTGGTTGCTCTAAATTTGCGAAGTTTTCTCTACATAGTGATGCTGATTTGTTTCTTCCTAAGTTGAGTGAACTGGCTGAATTATTATCATTTCGATGTGCTTAACACCTTGTATATACTTGTGTTTTTCTGGATCAATTTGTTGATTTAAAACTTTTTCTCGGAGCGACGATGGTTTCTAAGTTTCATGTGTGTAAGTTTCCTATATACCTATATTTTCATGTACCCTGTGAATGTCCCAATGTCCTCTTGCGTTCTCCATTTGATATTAATAATTTACCTTTGTGTCTTGATTAGAATGCTTGTGAATATTTGATATTAATAATCCTGACTCTTAACGTTTTGATCTCTCGGTTTTTCTGTTATTTTATCACTTGAGCTCTTTCACAGTTTATGAACTTAAGACTGAATCTATTATGATGTTATTACCTCTGGATTCTGTTTTACAAGGTATATAGCTACTTTTGGTACATAGTACATCATATTAAATCATATATGTATAAATTTCGAAAAGTTTGACAAGGTAACTTGTAATTGTTTACCACCTTTGTCAGATTAGGGTGATTTGAGTACTGGTTCAGACTTTTTTCAAATCTTTTAGAGTCCTAGTAAAGTATGGCATTGTCTTATGGGATTTTACAATCATTGATGACATTGCACCAGCCTTCAAAACCATTTTGAAAGAGTATTACTTGTCATTAACGGCTCGTTTTGAAGATACAATGCAAAATAAGATATGGAATTGTTTCCTAACACTACATTATTGTGGAAATATATATTCATGCAGGATTGGAATTATTTCCTAACACTACATTATTGTGGAAATATATATTCATGCAGGATTGGAATTATTTCCTAACACTACATTATTGTCAGAATTTTAACATTTTATTCTTTACTAGTTCTAACTTCTAATGATGTCATGATGTTCAAACACTTCTCTAGAGAGTGTCAATGCAGAAGGGGTACAAGAAGATAGCAAGAAGGGAATTGTCAAAAAGGTCCATTCTTTTGATCTCCGAATTGGTCTGAATAATCAAACTTAAAATTTATTGATAAGTTCTAAGTGCCTAATTGATGTTTGTTCATGCAATTGTCACCTTTGCCAACATTGGAATCATCTTTTGAGGCTCTTAATATAAAGAAGTTTGACGGTGATCTCAAATCTCATTCTATTTTTTATTTGTGTTTACAGTGTGAGATTGAGATTTATTCAGTGCTAATTGTGTATTTTTTCCCCTAGTTGCATTTTCTGTGGATCCCCTCTATCGCCAAACATCAGCAAAATTTGATGAAGGGGGAGCCAAAAGTCTTTTGATGAATAACCTAGACGTATATGGGAGATGTAGAGTGCTTTTTGATTCACAAGATATGCCAGGGAAGTATGTAGCTAGTCAAAATTAACATGATAGTTCAAATATAATTGATCTTTCTTTTGCAAGAGGTATGTTCTTTTTTATATAGCTCTGGCAAAACTATTGCCACATTATGAGTCAAAATGTTCAACATGGCTCAGGAACTTGCTTTCTCTTTGTAGATTATATTGAACAGATGTTGTTGGACATCCATATTAAGGATGAAATTTCTCCAACCCTCAAGATGATAGTGAATCAATTTGGCAAAAATAATAGAAGGCCCTCTGATTTTCAATGTTATGGCCATAAATCAGCCGAAGTTATATGCATTTAAGAGTTAAACTTGTTAATCATTTTAGTAAATGTTTTAGGTTCAGAGTCAGAAGTTAGTTGTTCTCCTGAAGATGGGTCAATCCTCAAAACTAGGCTACCAAAAACCATGAGACAAATCGAAGTTGATTTAGATTTCACAAATATTTTTAGGAAAACACCTCCAGATGTCTTTGCACCTCCTAAGAATCCTAAATCATTATTACTCCTTAAAAATAAACCCCATTGTGTTACAAAACTCCCAAAGGAGTGAGGACTGTCACTATGAGCCAGAGGATCTTGTCAAGTTATTTCTTTTGCCTAGTGTGAAGGTATGTTCTTTAGTTATAAAAGTTAGTTTCAATAATCTCTATCCAAGTTAATATTTATTTGTTTCACTATGTTTTCATATCTTTCTTTAGTGTCTTGGGAGGAGGAGGGTGAGAAAGTTCTTAGGTAATATGTAATATTGTGACCCCGACATTTCTCTTTTTTTATATCCTCCAATTCACTGTATTTAAACTCAGAGAAGACTGTATTATGATTTCAGGTGGACTTTCTTTAGTGTCTTGGATTGAATTCAGGTGGAATTTCTTTAGTGTCTTGGATTGTATTGTAGTGAACGCACTATAGAGAGTGGCTGTCTATTTTTTGGAATTCGAAACATGTAATTTACTGGTCGTATGAGATTCGTGAGCTTGAAAGTGGAACTGCACTTTTGGTTTTTCTAAAATTGAAGCTCCGCTTATTGCTCTTATAATTGATATGTATGTTAGATGTTCGATTAAATGCCTCAGAGAAACAAATAATTAATTATTCTGAATGATTATGATATTGTTTCGATGTTGTAGCTTGAGAAAGAGAGTTTGTGGTTTCTTTTTTATTGCGAGAGTTGAATGCCATTGTTCAGCGCAAGCAACATATAAAAGCTATTTGTGCTAACTCTACTGATGCTAACACTGACTTTGTATGTCGTGGCAGCCAAATTGAAGATCTATGTTTGGACTTTACACTGCCTGCTGGTTATCCAGGATACATATTGAAACCAAGAGACGACATAGTTGATATCAACAATTTGGAGGAGTACATATCCTTGGTGGTTGACGCAACTGTCAACAATGAATTTACATTCTGTAGACCGCAGTCTCTGTAGAGAAAGATCATTGATGATGTACCCCACATGGCCGAGTTAAATCCGAGAGCTTTCAGATGGTTCCATTCGAATGGAAAGGCCCAATCAACCAAATTCCGACAATATCGTTGATTGCAAGCTGCTTTGCCATTACGAAATGCTTCAATTGCTCACCAGGTCGGAACAACTCGATCTCAAATTTTCTCAAATCTAAATGATCTATTTCTTGGAACAAGCTTCTTGTGAGCATGGTCACCGTTTGTAAGTTGAGAAAATGATTCCCATGGTCTTGGCAGAGTTATTATAATGTGCTTAAGTATGACTAAAAGCTTGAGTAAGTCATTAAACCACATTCATGCTATCCTATCGGTGTCACAAGCAGTGGATACTGGCAGCAACCTTTAGACAGTGATATCCAAATTTGATTCCAATGCTTGCTTGGCTGAGACGGTGATGGATTCTGATGATTCTGATTTAAACAAATAGTTAGACTTGTTTTTACTTTAAAATGTCATTTTTATTGATCATAGTTCACAAATTAGAAAATAGATCTTCCAAATAAACCACAAGCGTCATTCCATGAGCTTGCCTTTATTGTGCTTAAACCAATTATCTGCTTATAAAATTACCCTGAGAAATAATGAACTCTTTTAGTGATGCAGTTCCAGAAAAGCACTTGCAACCATTCATTGATCGTGCCATGCCAGCAAGTAATTCATCAAGACTTATGTCAGGATCACCCCAGAAGACTTTCTCAAGCTACATATTTTTATTGATCATAGTTCACAAATTGGAAAATAGATATTCAAATTCACAATTTTGAATCTCAAGTTTATAACCATGTTTGTTATTTGTAAAAAATCATGAAAATTGATATCCTTGAAACGGCATCAATTGAGGAAATTATATCAGCTACTCAATACTAGCAGGAATCACTGTTTTTTTTTCTTCCTTCATATCACTTTTTAGTTGATGTGTAACTAAAAACTTGGAACAAGTCCACTATCGAACAAACATGAGTATTGGAAATGGAAGAGAAAAGTATTATGGTAGCTCTCACAAAATATTTGATTGTAGGCGAGGGAGATTTCTCCTTCTCACTTTCCTTGGCAAGGGCATTTGGCTCAGTTGTTTACATTGTTGCTACCTCTTTGGACACTAGAGGTACATTTTGAAAACCCTATTTTATTTTATAAATAAGTTTGCTACATTCTTATTTATTAAACTACTAATGGTGCTAATTTATTGTCTCCTTTTATTTGAAAATTTCAATATCGCAAATTTGAAGAGTCTCTAGTGCTGATATATGGAAGTGCATCAAGTAACTTGAGTGAACTTGAGAATCTTGGCTGCACCATCTTGCACAATGTGGATGTTCATAACATGAAAGAACATCATTTTCTCAAGAACCAAAAATATGATCAAATCATCTTTAACTTTCCCCATGCTGGTTTTGTTTGGCGTGAAATTGATGAGATCCAGATTCAGTAAGTTATGCAAAAAAACATGTACTACTATAGTCCTGTTTTTTCACCTTCTACTTTATATATCAACACTTCATTCATATTAAACACATTTATATAGCCAGTACATTAATAATTTATCCATCAATATATTGATTAATAATGCAGGTCTCACAGAAGTTTAGTGAGTGGATTTCTACAAAATGCTAAAGAAAAATGGTTTATATTGGTGGAGAAATTCATATTTCTCACAAGACAAAAAGCTACAAGAATACCCTACACAACTTGAGGAAGTTTTGATTTTGGAAGAGCGTGTTGGTGAAGCCAAAAGATTAGCAGCAACTAGAAGACTACAAAACTGATTATGAAGGGCTCATTATGATACTAGAAGACCACAAGTGATTTTCTTTATTGGTGCTAACTGGAAGTAATGTTTAAGCTTTTGTAGATGTTCATGTCTATCCTCTAAGGCAAAATCATACCAAAGATTTCTTCAGCCATCGGTAAAAAATCTTGGATCATCATTTGGTGTGGAAAATTGGACAGAATATCTTGGATCATCATAGGTTGTACAATTATATAGATTATATTATATATATCAAGTTATAGATTATGACATTTGATCATTTAGATATTCATAAGTATATATTTAGTAGAAAATATAATAAGTTATTTAGAAAAGTGATATAATGAAATATCAATTGTTTTTTTAAGTTATATAAATTTATATATTTGTTATATGTGAGTCTTTATATATTTGATATACGTGAGTCTTTATATATTTGATATATTACCAAAAAATAATAATAGTTTAAATTAAAAAAAACTATTATAAAAAAAAAAGAGATGAAAGTAATTTAAATAAAAATAGAATATTATAAAAAAAATTCTATAGATAAAATTGCAACGGTTTAAACGGTCGCAGCTAGCATAAATAATATTTAGAATTAGTAAATATAATTACGACGGTTGAAAACCGTCACAATATGGAGATTAAGACAATTAGCTACCCGTCGTGAAAATAAATAATATTTAGAATTAGTAAATATAATTGCGACGGTTGAAAACCGTCACAATATGGAGATTACGACAGTTAGCTACCCGTCATGAAAATAACAACGATTTGTACGACAGTTTTCACAACCGTCGCAATACGGCCTCGCGACGCACGTTTCTGCGACGGGGTTGAAACTGTCGTAACTTACAAATTGTGACGGTTAAAACCGTCGTAATATGTCAAAATGAACCGTCGCAATTTGTCATTTTTCTTGTAGTGGTAGGGTCATCGTATGGTCAAAGAAGGCAACATGTAGGGGTGTCTTAGTAATTCAACAGGACTATCATCCTTTTTGTAGGGCCATCGAGGGACAAGATCATTTATTCCGTAGGTAACTTCGAAGGAACTATGATCCTTTTAACTTTAAAGGGACTTGATGATTTATCTGTTTGCAGGGACATCGCTTAAGACACCCCTACGTTCGAGAGACTTAACCATATTAAGGCAACTAAAAGGGATAACCCTAGGAGGTGTAGATGGCGATCGTAGAACGACCGACTTACGTGTGTGAGTGATCATTTTCAGATATTTCTTTTATTATTGATTCTCTAAGTCCAACTTATTCAATTAGATCTTTTCACGCCCTAGATTAATAACCAAGCAATTAAATATTTACGGGAATAATAAAAAAAAACAAGAAATAAAGTCCTAAACTATTACACGGCTTCGGGGCAATTACAGAATAATCAGTGGGGAAAAATAAATTACATAAGGAAAATCTTATACAATCCTCTAAATAATATAAATAAAGCAATGAAAATAAATTAAATTAGGAAATTAATTGTTTTTAAAAAAAAGATCAAGTTTAGAAAATGAGGGTCTAATTAGGGTTAGTGAAAAATTAGGGTTTTTAAATTAATCTAAACCTATTTATATTCATTTACAATTTTAATTAATAAATTAAAAAAAAGGTTATGTGAGAGAAAAAAAATATAAAATTATATTATAAAATTTATTTTAAAAAAAATAATTGGTGAGCAGTTAGTAAAGATTAATGGTTAATTAAATTAATAATACTATTTTAATAATAATAACTATAAAACATAAAAAAGAAAGGAAGAAATTCACTAAAAATAAATGGGGGAAGGCCTGAAAATGTCCGTACGAAGAGTTTCGACTCTTGAAAAGCTTATGCCTTAACCATGGCACTTCTTGAAACCTGCATCATATCTTGCAAACAAATGATCAAAACAAACCTAAACATGATTATGAAGATCATTATGAACAGAAAATATGATAAAGTGCAATAAAATCAAAGATTAGAAAGCAAAAAAGAAGAAGAATGAGAGGCGGCATGTTCATGGGATGCACTTTGTGAGGTCTCAACTTTCAAGTCTTTGTGGGATAGGTTCCTAGGATCTTGAGGAATGTGAATGGACTTGTAGAGCTGATTGAATCTTATTGCAAAGTTGTTTTAAGATTTTTCTAAGGTTCTTATGACTTCCAAAAAAAATTACTCCCCCTTTTTTCATTCTTACTTTGTTGTGTATATAAAGTAGTGTAAATTAGGGTAAACAATTGGGCCTTGGTTGGAGTTTTATGGGTTGCTTGAAGATGAAGGAGCCAATTATCATAATTGTCAAAAAAAAAATCAAATTAAATCATACCATATTGGTCTTGAACGAATTTGGATGACTTTAATCACTTTGAATACCATACATTTGATCCCAAAATAAATCTTAAATCAAATCTTTGATTTTTTATAATTTATTTTAATTAAAAATGATTTTAAATGATAAAAATAAAAAATAATATAAAATAAATGATAAAAATTAGAAAATACGGTCATTGGGTCGTGAATGACTCTATCTTCAAGTTTGGGTTGCAATCTTATGGGCCCATTTGGAAAGAATTGGAGTTATAACCCTTTTTACTTCATACACCCCTTGAAAAATTACCAATTTTGACAATGCATAACCTCCTCAATTTTAATGCTATGGAGGTGTTATAAGACTTTTTAGAAATCTTAGGGTATCCTCTAATCAATCCTTTTGGTCCCATGTCCATATTTTTTTACCACTTTCAAATTATGAGCTTTGGAAAAAGTTGACTTTTTGTTGACTTTCAAAAGGGCCTATAATGTCTTGGCTCATATCTTTCAAATGAAGCAATTTTAGGCTTGGCTTGTGAGACATAAAGTTGTAGAGAATTAAATTTCCTTTAAAATGGGATTTTTATGGGAAGTTTTTGATGAAACGTGTGAAAGTTATGGCTGGTCAAAGTTCAGTTGACTTTTCCTACACAAAACCCTAATTTAGCAACTTCCGATTCTTGATGATCTGAGGTTTCCCTGATGAATCATGATCGACCCTTGATCAAATGATGAATTTCACCTCGTAATCTTGATGTTGACCAAAAAACTTGAAGTTTGACTTTGTGTTGACCACAATTGTCCTCAGTTGACTTTTTGACCAAGTTAATTGATTTTCAAGTATCTGAGCATCTGACTGGCGAAACTTGTGAGGGAAGCTCTGAAACTTGACATGGGGATTATTTGAAGTATGTGGGATGTTATGAAGTCCATTTTAAGTTTTAGAAGTCCATTTTGCTCGGGGAGACTCAAAACCCTAGTTCTAAGATCCATTATTCAGGAGGAGGTTTTGATGAAACCTTCAATCCCTTTGATCAATTGTGAATCTTGTGACTATTAAGTAACCTCTTGGGACACGTTGTCTTGAATATGGGAGGGTAAATTTTGGGGTACAACAATATTCAATATGCATCTTCTGAGCTGGTGAAAGAGATTTACACCATTAACATACCTCTTTCAAGGATATTTTATAGACCTTCAGCAACCCTTTATCAAGACCAATGAGTTAAAAAATGTCTAGCTTTTCCATCATTTAAATTAAGTGGAATCATCCTTTGAATTTGGTAGGAAAATTCCTATGATATTTTTCATGTGGCACTTGATTCCTTCTTGAAGAAGAATTATACTTTTCTTATTAGACCATTATCTGCTCCACTGTTAAGCGTTAAGCACATATCATACTCTGATACCAATTGAAGGTGTGAAAAAGTACACAAGAAAGGGGATGTGGTTTAATTGTGTTTCGCATTTTCTTTAATTTAACTTCTGATTAGAGTTTCAGAATCAAAATTGATGTTCAGATTCCGTTTTAATTCATTGACAGCAGATATAGAAGAAGTAAACAAATAACATCAGAAGACAAAAAAGATTTATCTGGGTTCCTCCCCTAACTAAGAGTACTCCAATCACATTGCCTCACAAGAGATTTTCATTATAACCACTTCATGATTACAATCGCTTAAACTGTCTGAGACTTTCTTGCTTAGAGCACATGTCTAAGACTTCTGCTCACATCCTCTGACCGAGCCAGTTGCTCTTATGGCCATCCAGACTGAGACTTCCTTGCTCACATCCTCTGATCGAGCCACCTGGTCTTCTGGCCATCCAGATTGAGGCTTCCTTGCTCAAGCAGCACTTGAGAGTTCCTGCTCATGCCCCTCAGCTAGAGACTTTCCCTTTGCTCAATCAACCTAGTTGAATAAGACTTTTACAGCTCAAGCACTTAAGCAATGAGACTTATGTGGCTTAATAATTTGGCCTTAAGACTTGTTGCTTGAATCCCAATGAGACAAGACTTTTGCTCAAGCACATAGCAAGAGACTTTGATCTAAACTTTTGAACATGCCTAACAGGATAGAGAACAAGGTGTAGATGATACAAGTATCAGAGGTACGAGAAATCACCATAACAAAGACCTAAAACACTTAAGATTTTTAAGATATGAAATGTTTAAGAAATCTTAAGGCTTTTATAATTACAACCTACAAATAGAAAATTTGAATATTACAATAAAGTTGATAATTGCTTGATCTTGCTACTCTTTCATCTAGAGAATCCTTGTTCTTTTTTTAGTAAGAACCTTCAACCATATTTATAGCCTTTGCAGAAAACTAGTCTTTGAGGAAGTAACTTGTTCAAGTGTCTTTGTCTTTGCCCCATAGTACAAGAGACATTGATGATGGATGCACAATAGGTTCTGAATCTAGTGTATAACATGTTTAACCTTTGAGTCTTCAAGAAGTGATCGTACTAATAAAGTTGTTATAAGTAGTCATCCATAAAGCATGTCAGCTTTTCTTGAGTCTTACAATTTGTAGACTCTGACTGACAAACTAATAAGATAGTAAAATTTACTTTCTGCAGTACAAACGACTTCTAGCTTTATCACCAACTCTGAGTGGTACCGAATTCTGATATACAA